CTGGCATTATCATCTTTGCGTTAAATAAGCATAATTTACATTTGCTATTTTAACAGAGTTATCAAGGAATATCAAAATTTAAAAACAAAACCTACCTGCTTTTCAAAAACTGTATATATACATACTCCCACACACACTCATAGGAGACAGAGTTTTATCTAGTTATATATTAATTTAAATAGAAAAATATACACTTAGTTTTGGGGTGTTTGAGGTAGTTGATTATTCAAGACATGTGTTATACTGAAACCCTCAACAACCCAATTGTCAATATAAAAAGAATACTGGAATCGAAATTCTATTTTAGTTAAAGATAATGTGAAAACACCTCCAAAATGAGTTAAAATGTTCATGTTAGTCTTCTTCACACTGTAAAACAGTAGAATATATTTTGTGGTTTTATTAAAGTCATTGGTTTGTTTAAAATGTTTTAAGGAATACATAAATGAATATAGAACATTCTCTATGTTTATGTACATGTACACACATGCATGTATCCATGTAGTTGCAGTCTTAGAGAAGTAGATTGCTATTTTTTGGATGGTATGGATTAGGTTGAGAAGATACAGGCAGGAAGGAAAGAACAAAAAGTGCCAACCGGGAGGGCAGATTGATGACTGAGGTTGAGGGCATGAATAGAACTAGTTAACCAGAGACTCCCCAGTAACTCCCCACAGCTCTAGTCGCCCTCCCTCACCCCAGCCACATCCTCACTTCTCTACAGCTCTAGTCTGGGAAATCAGAAGGGAAGTTTAAAAATTAGATTGTGGAGGAAAACATTAATTGTCTGACTCAGAATTTCAGAACCAGAAATAGACTTAAACATCAGTGAGTCAACCCACAAGATTTTCAGATGAGTGAATTAAACCTAAAAGATAAGTGCTTTGTTAGCAGAACAAGCAATGCCAGCATCAAAGACTCCTGGCTTTGGCCAAGTGTGATGGCTCACACTTGTAATCCTAGCATTTTGGGAGGCCGAGGTGGGAGGATTGCTTGAGTTCAAGACCAACCTGGGCAACATAGTGAGACCTCATCTCTACAAAAAAAATCAAAAGAATTAGCTAGGAATGTTGGTATGTGCGTGTAGTCCCAGCCACTCATGAGCCTCAGGCTGAAGGATCATCTGAGCCCAGGAGGTTGAGGCTGTGGTGAGCTGTTATCATGCTACTGTACTCCAGCCTGGAAGACAGAGTGAGACTCCAACTCAAAAGAAAAAAAAAAGACTCTTGGCTTCCAGTTCAAAATGATTTTTATGGCTACATTTTATGAGAATGCTAGTAAAAAAGTAAACCAAGAACCTCTTTGTGATGAATCTCTTCACTGTAGGAAGGGATTCTGCATCTGCCACTCAGAGTTTGAGAAGAGATCTTTGTCTGAAAGAGAGCAAAATATTATCCCAGCAGAGGAGTCATTTAATATTATGCGAAGTTTACCCTTGATCTTTTTAGAGGTAATTTTAGACGTTGTCATCAGACAAAACCAGTCCCTTTCCAGATGGTGCCTTACACACCCAATGAATCAGATCCTGTGTCCCTCGGGTGCTGCCCTTCTTTTATGTATGTTTCAAGCTCTTCAGATTGATTGTGAATCTTTGGTCTCAGGTTGCACCTAATGTCATAGGCCTTTCTGGTTTCATTTATGTATGCACAGGGGGATTTGCTTTTTCAGTCTTTGAAGTTGTATTGATGCAGCTTGACCTTCCAAGCCATGCGAAACTATCTACCAGACCATATTAAACCCCAAAGCTTCAATAGGAGACGTTCACAGGAAAGAAAAAAATCTTTTGACAGTCAATGCTATTTACAATTCCCTCTTCCACAATTTAATGTACAGACATACAATTTGATCATACTAAATTTTCCTGTCCTGAAGAGAATCTTTTTACTACATGTAGGTAAAGGTGTTGATGAATACTGTGTGTATACTGTCAATAAATGTATTATTATACATGGGATTTGCCCTTATGAAACATCACTCAATAAATATTTATTGAACATCTACTAAGTGACAGATGTGCTAATTTAGTGGGGAGTTAGTGGTGAAAAGGCAGAAGTGTTCATGTCTTATGGAGTTTACATTATTATTCTCTGCAAAATTATGCCTTTATCAAGGATAGTAAATAATTCTGGGCTCTTGATTCTCTCTTTTTGTCTATTTATAAGTGCATGTTTTCAATGAATATAAGCTTTGAATTAAAATATATACACAGAAAGCTACACAAATCAAATGTACAGCTCAGATTATTTTTGCTCAGTGAACACACTCATGAAACTAGTGACCAGGTTACAAAACAAAACATTCCCAGCCCCCAGAATTCCATTAAAATTTTTTTTTTTCAGGCCAGGCTTGGTGGTTCAGCCCATAATCGCAGCACCTTGGGAGGCCGATGTGCGAGGATTGCCTGAGCTGCCAGGTTCGAGACCCACCTGGGCAACTTGGCGAGACCTCATCTCTACAATAAATAAAAAATTAGCCGGGCGTGGTAGCGCATGCCTGTAGTTCCAGCTACTTGGAAGGCTGAGGCGGAAGGATCGCTGGAGCCCAGCAGGTCGAGGCTGCGGTGGCTGGGAGTGGCCACTGCACTCCAGTCTGGGCGATAGAGTGAGACTCTAACTCAAAAAAAAATTTTTTTTCCAGTTATTGACCTTCCCAAGTAGTTACTTTTCTGACTTTTGACACCATAGGTAGTTTTACCTTGCTTTAAACTTTTAGCAATGTAATCATGCAGTGTGTGTTCTTCTGTGTTTGCCTTCATTTGCTCAATATTATGCTCGTGAGATTCATCTAAGTTGTTACATGTCGTTGGGGGTCATTCATTCTCCTTGCTGTATGGTATTCCACTGTATATTACTGTTAGGTCAGTGAGCTGGTGCCACAAATAAAGAAAAGAGCAAAAGGGTATATTCACATTCAGGACGGACTGAATGAGGCCAACGCTGCCAGCAGCAAGGCCATGGGGATGTGTGAAGAAGGTGTATTTAAGGCATTTACAGGGAAGCTGGACTAGAAAAAAATTCCAGCAACTGTATCCTCAGGACTTGATAACGTAAGTTTTATGTCTTGATGTTTTCAGGACAACATGTCTTGTGACTCCAGCAGGTGGTGGGTTGGTGGGCTTATCACAATAGATTAGGTTGGCTTGACTCTTATGACTGGAAAGCAAATACTTGGAATAGAGGGATAATTAATATAAAGCATGCTTGGGGGTTACAAAAAATCATCAGTATTTATCTCCAGGGAACTGGTTCTGTCTTCTGTTAATGATTAGAGGGTTGGCTAAATGATTTATTTAAGGAAGCATGGCCATGCTATAGATAAAGTTGCTCCATGTTGGTGCATCACCTTTTCAACTACAATTCATTTGTTCAGTCTATTGTTAAAGACATTTAGGATATTTCCAGTTTGGGGCTATTATCAACAGTGTCACTATTAAGATTCTTGTACATGTCTTTAGGTGAATATTTCTGTTGAGTATACACACCTATGAATTGAAATATTGGATTGTAAGTTATGCATATATTCATCCAGTTTTCTGAAGTGTCTGTACCGAGTAATAGTCCCACCAGCAGTGTATGAAAATTCCAATTACTCCTCATCATTACCAAGCTTAGCATTATGTGAGTTTTTCATTTTAAAGTGCATTTTTAAGTGAAAAAAAATAGACTAGAACCACTGGGGCTTTGTGATAAACAATGAGACATTGTAAATTTTATAGCAACAGTGTTAATCCCTTGGATTTTAGTCTGTGCCAATTATTCAGGATGGTGTTATACTGAATTACAAACTCTGCTTAACTGTTGATGGAATCAAACCCACTGTTTACAACAGAAAATCCTGCGAAAGTTTAAAGGTTTGCCTTTCTTACATTTGGAGTTGTAGCTTTTTCAAGGCAGCAATGCTAGACTACCTTTTATTATTATTATTATTTTAATTTTTTTGCCAGAAGGCCAAGTAAGAAAAAAATATATGTAGGCCATATTTTAAAATTTCAAAATGGAAATGGCATTCTTGAGACCTGGGAAAGAAACATACATTCAGATGTGAGATAACCTACCATATCAAGTGGAAGACTGGAAGTGAGAAAGCTGGAGGAACTATTGGTCAATAAAATGTTAACATTGGACCATATTTGAGAAATGATTGTAGGAAGACAGCTGTCATCCTGAATGTAGCTTTTCAACAATATTGTAAAGCTAGGAGGGTTAACTCCTAGACCAAGACCCTTAAGAGGGGCTGTATTAGAAGCCCGCTGCAACTTTAACATTTCTGTAGGAGGAACTATAAATACTAGAGGGGACCAAAAAAAAAAAAAAAAGGAATTATTTTTTGGAGGGCAGGCCCCTTGTAATACAGGCTTCCCCCTGCTAGGTAAGTGTTCTAGGAACCCATCAGCATCAGTGTACCAGATAGCAAGCATTGTTGTGAGAGGCTGAGTTTGGCTTCACTGATTTTCTTTTTCCTTTCTTTTTTTTCTTTTTTTGGAGATTCTTTCAATGCATTTGCCCATTTCTCGATGGGTGATTTATGGGAACAACCTGCCCACACTGCAATGAATATTTAGCAGTTTTTGACCAAAAACAGCATGACCCCTGTGCCCTACCCTCCCTATTCACCCGATCTCTCCCCAAACAACTTTTTTGTTTGTTTGTTTCCCTGGATGAAAAAAGTCCTCAAAGGAAAACATTTTGCCGATGTGGAAGAGGTGAAACAAAAAATGGCAGAAGTGCTAAAATGCATCAAAATTGACAAGTTCAAAAACTATTTTGTGCAGTGGAAAAGGCATCTCCTTACATGTATTTCTTCAAACGGAAAGTACCTTGAAGGTAACTGAAGTTTAAACATGTAAGAATAAATACACAATTTTTTAATAAATAAATTTTGTCTTTTTGGGGTCCCTCCTCATGTAATGGATCCAGGCTCAGGCCTAATACAGAAGAGCCCATCTGAAGTAAAGAACGTTATTCTTAGAAAAACACTGATGGTTTCCTTTTTCTTTTCAGTCCAAGGTTTACACTCGCACACCAACCTTATATTTGGACTTCAAACTGGACCAAGGAGCAAAACATTCCCAGCCTATTCCTAAAGGTATGATGGGTTCTGGGGTTTAGTAATCATGTCAGAAAAATAAAATATCAGGTGCTGCTTTCTCTGGAATGTGCTTGTTTCTGAATCTCAGCATAAAGTTCTATAAACTTTGTTTATGTTTAATTATGTTTATATTAACAAATACTGCTGGGGCCTTTCAAGTTAAGGAAATCAAGAAGAATTCATAGAGTTTAGGATCAGGCCCTCTGGATCACACCCCTTAGTTTATGGGTGTGGAAGGCCCAACAGATTAGTCACTTGCTCAAGGCCACAGAAAGATTTACTAGATGAGTTAGGGTAAGTAAAATACCCTTGTCTGCTGACTTTCAAGCCCCTGTTGACTCACGGTGTTTCTGGAAGCAAATTTAGATTTGTGTTACTTATAAACAAGTGCATACTTGATTGAGATACAGGTTCTTCTTGATACAAGTATTGTTATAGAAAGGTTATCTTTATGTTTGAATCCCAAGAATAATTAGAAAATTTCCAAGTGATTAAAGCCAATTTTATTTTATAAAACGGTTTTACTCAAGGTCATTAGGCATCAACTTGGACACATTATTTTGTTCTTTTTTAAAATTCTGTTTTTTATAATATTAATTTTTATTGACACATAATAGATATACATATTTTCAAGGTACATGTGATAATTTAACACATTCATATAATTTGTAAAGATCAAATCAATGTAATTAGGATATCCCTCTCCTAAATATTTGTCTTTTCTTTATGCTAGAAACATGTGAATTATTATCTTCTAGCTATTTTGAAATATACAATGTAAATGTAAACTATAGTTATCGTCCTGATCTGTTTCTTCTACCAAAGTGTATATTTGGACCCAGTACTCAAGCTCTCTGCATCCTTCTCTCCTCACTACCCTTCCTGGCATCTGTTAACCATCAGTCTATTCTCTATTTCCATGAGGTCCACTCCATATGAGTGAGAATAATATGATATTTGTTTTTTTGTGTTTAGCTTATTTTACTTAACATAATGACCTCTAGTTCTATCCATTTTACTGTAAATGAGAGGATTTCATTCTTTTTTATAGCTGAATAATATTTTATTGTGCATATATACTACATTTTGTTTATCTATTCATTAATTCATGGGCACTTAGGTTGATTCCATATCTTGGCTACTGTGAAAAGTGCCACACTAAACATGGAAGTGCAGATATCTCCTCCATATATTGATTTCTTTTCTTTGGGATATATATCCAGCAGTGGAATTGCTGGATATATGTAAGTTCAGTTTTTAGTTTTTTGAGGAACTTTTATACTGTTTTCCATAGTGGTGGTACTAATTTTCATTCCCCAAAACAGTATACAAAGTTTCCCTTTTCTCCACATCCTTGCCAACATCCATTAGTTCCTATCTTTTTGATAAAAGCCATTTTAACTGGAGTGAGATTGAGATAATAACTCATTGTGGTTTTAATTTGCATTCCTCGCTGATTAGTGCTGTTGAGCATTTTTATATACCTGTTGGCCATTTGTATGTCTTCTTTCGAGAAATGTTTTTTCAGAACTTTGCCCATTTTAAAAGTTATTATTTTTTTTTGCTATTGACTTGTTCAAGATCCATATATATTTCAGTATCCCTTGTCAGATGGATAGTTTGAAAATAATTTCTGCCATACTATGAGCTGTCTCTTCATTTTGTTGGTTGTTTCCTATGCTATGCAGAAGCTTTTTATCTTGATGTAATCCCTTTTGTCTATTTTTGCCTTGGTTGCCTGTGCTTTTGAGGCCTTACCCAAAAATCTTTGCCAAGACCAATGTCCAGGAGCATTTCCCCAATGTTTTCTTTTAGTTTTTTCATAGTTTCAGGTCTTATATTTAAGTTTTTAATCCATTTTGATTTGATTTTTGCATACAATGGGAAATAAAGGTCTAGTTTCATTCCTCTGCATGTGGTTATCTGTTTTCTCAGCACCATTTATTGAAAAGGGTGTCTTCTACCCATTGTATGTTCTTGGTGCCTTTGTGTAAAATGAGTTGGCTATAAATGTGTGGGTTTATACCTGGGTTCTCTATTCTGTTCCATTGGTCAAAGTGTCTGTTTTTATGTTAATATCATGTTGATTTGATTACTGTAGTTCTGAAGTAATTTTTTTTTTTTTGAGTCGGAATTTCATTCTGCCACCCAGGCTGGAGTGCAGTGGCATGTTCACAGCTACTGCAGCCTTGACCTTCTGGGCTTAGGTGATCCTCCTGCCTCAGCCTTCCAAGTAGCCGGAATTACAGGTGCACGCCACGATGTCCGGCTTATTTTTTTGATTTATTGTAGCAATGAGGTCTCGCCAAGTTACCTAGGCTGGTCTTGAACCCCTAGGTTCAGGCAATCCTCTCACCTAGTCCCTCCTAAAGTGCTGGGATTACAGGCATGAGCCACCACACCTGGCTACTGTAGTCAATGTTGAAGTCAGGCAGTGTGATGCCTCCAGCTTTATTCCTTTTACTCAGGATTGTTTTGGCAATTCCAGGTCTTTTATGGTTTCATATAAATTTTAGGATTTTTTTTTTCTGTTTCTGGGAAGAATGATGTATTTTGCTAGGGATTGCATTGAATCTGTAAATTGCTTCGGGTACTATTGTCATTTTAACTATATTAATTCTTCCAATCCATAAGCATGGAATATAGTTCCTTTGTGTGTGTGTGTGTGTGTGTGTCCTCTTCAATTTCTTTCATCAGTGTTTTATGGTTTTCTTTGTATAACTCTTTTACTTCTTTGGTTAAATTGATTCCTAGATATTTTATCTTCTTTGTAACTATTGTAAATGGACTCCTTTCTTGATTTCTTTTTCAGACTGTTTGATGTTGGTGTATAAAAATGTTATTGATTTTTGTATCCTGCAACTTTACTAAATTTGTTTATCAGTTCTAACAGTTTTCTTTTGGCAGCTACTTTAGGTTTTTTAAAATATGAGATCATGTCAATTGTTAACAAGACTAATTTGACTTTTTCCTTTCTGATTTGAATGTGCATTATTTCTTTCTCTTGCCCAACTGCTTTGGCCTGGACTTCCATTATTATGTTGAATAAAAGTGGTGAAAGTGGGCGATTTTGTCTTGATCTAGATGTTAGAAGAAGAGCTTTCAGTGTTTCCTCATTCAACACAATGGTAGCTCTGGGTTTGTTATATATATGGCCTTTGTTATTTCGAGATATGTTTTTTCTATACTCAGTTTGTTGAAAGTTTTTATCATAAAGGGCTGTTGAATTTTATTGAATGCTTTTTCAGCATCTATTGAATGATCATATGGTTTATGTTCTTGATTCTGTTAATGTGATGTCTCATATTTATTGATTGGTGTATATTGAACAGTCCTTGCATTCCTGAGATGAATCCCACTTGATCATTGTGAATGATCTTTTAAATGTGTTGTTGAGTTTACTTTGCTAGTATTTTGTTGAGGATTTTTGCATCTGTGTTCATCGATGATATTGACCTGTAGCTTTCTTTTTTTTTTGCTTGCTGTGTTTTTGTCTGGTTTTGGTATCAGGGTAATGCTTGCCTCATAGAATGAGTTTGGAAATAGTCCTTCCTTTTCAATTTTTTTGAAGAGTCTGAGTAGAATTGATATTAGCTCTTCTTTTTTATTTTTTATTTTTTATTTTTTTTGAGTTGTAGTCTCACTCTGTCGCCCAGACTGGAGTGCAGTGGCCGCTCCCGGCTACTGCAGCCTTGACCTGCTGGGCTCCGGCGATCCTTCCGCCTCAGCCTTCCAAGTAGCTGGAACTACGGGTGTGTGCTACCACACCCGGCTAATTTTTTGATTTATTGTAGAGATGAGGTCTTGCCAAGATGCCCAGGCGGATCTCGAACCTGCGGGCTCGGTCAATCCACTCACCTCAGCCTCCCAAAGGCGCAGGATTACAGGCTGAGCCACCGAGCCCGGCGATATTAGCTCTTCTTTAAATGTTTGGTAGAATTTGGTAGTGAAGCCATCAGGTCCTGAGTTTTTCATTGATGGGAGACTTTTTATTATGGCTTAAATCTTGTCACTTTTTACTGGTTTGTTGAGTTTTTCTGTTTCTTCATGGTTCAATCTTGGTAGGTTGTATGTGTCCAGGAATTTATCAATTTATCAATTTCTTCTAGGTTTTCTGATTTGTTGGCCTATAGTTGTTCATAATAGTCTTTAGTGATTCTTTGTATTTCTGTGGTCTCAGTCATGTCTCCTTTTTTTGTTTCTGATTTTATTCTTTTAGATCTTTTTTCTTAGTTCAGCTAATCGTTTGCCAATTTTATCTTTTCAAAAAACCAATTTATTGATCTGCTGTATTTTTTTATTCTAAATTTCACTTATTTCTTCTTTCATCTTTATTATTTCTTCCCTTCTACTAATTGTGAGTTTCATTCTGGCTATTTTTAAGTACAGAAAAAATTTGTAGAGTAATTCACTTAAGCATAAGCCTATACTATATATACACCATTTAAAAAACAATAAGTGTGAGAGTATACATGTGTTAACTTTTTAGTGGAATGCATTTTACTAAAATGGTATCATATTATACCTTTTTTATATCTTATTTATTTGACTGAACAATAACTCGGGAATCTTTCCAATCTACTCATATGGCTCTTTTTAATGGTGATATTCTGCATGTTGGGTTTACTACAACGTATTTAGCTTTGTCCTATCAATGGGCACTTACTTTGTTCCTAATGCTTGGCTATGGCAAACTGGTATGCAATGAACACCCTTGTACATCTGTCTTTCTATATGGGGATTTATTTTAATGAGATAGGTTTCCAGGGAAGGTCACCAAGTATATGCATGTTTAATTTTAAAAGACATTGTCAGGTTGCAATTTAAAGAGGCAAATCATGCTTCCCTTTAGCAGTTTATGAGAGAGCACTGGTTTCTCTATGACTCTGCCAACAGGAAGTTTGTGGTTCATGTTCATTTTTGTTCTTAGCCATCACCTATACTGCCTCCTGAAAAAATGTGTATCCATCAGTTTACAAAGTTGTACTTGCATTTTA